CACACTCTGTCTCTCTCTCTCTCTCTCTCTCATCAGACTAAGGGCTGTGTTAGTTCAGCCATCTGAGAGGCCTGTGTTATGGATGAAGCAGTGTGCTATCAATCTCCTGTGATAAGGATGTGGAGGCCTGGCCTCTGTCTGTGATCTGCCATGTTTTCCTCTCTTCCTCCTCATTCTCCCTCATCGCCCCGCTTGGCTTCTCATCACCCCACAAATTACAGGCCAGATGAAGAAGAAAGAAAAACAGGGTTTATAAAATCAGACCACGTTTCACTGCTGCCCCTGCTGAAAACATCTATAATTCATCAACCATTTATTTATTATTTATTCATATTCTGAGTATCAAATACTGCTCATCAGTTCCAATTACTTTTACATACAGTAGAACATGAATAAGTGCATATAAAATTACCTATCTGTATCATATGGAAAACATTTCACAATCTGACATTAGCACTTCAAAGGCAATTCATCACTTAATAATAAAAATAAGGACTGTCTTTTGGCAGCAGACTTTCATACAGAGAGAGATTATTTCCACATGCACATCTGACCACATCATTGCTCTGAACCCATGGAAACAGTTTGAGAGAGAACACCAAACAGTTTACCTCACACCTAGGAGCTCAAAGAGATTCTAGACAAGATCTGATTGATCTCACTGACACACACACACACACACACACACACACACACACACACACACACAGAGAGAGAGAAATCTCTGAGATAAGCTTATAGCAAGATTCTTCACCCTGGGGGTTTTGCATTTTATCTCTGGCCTGTGTATCTGTGCTGCCCCACCTGTACTGTCACACCTTGTACAGTGCCACACCAGCATGCCCCTGCACTTCCCAGCATGCCCCTGCGTTTCCCAGCATGCCCCTACACTTCCCAGCATGCACCTGTGACTCCCAGCATGCCCCTACACTTCCCAGCATGCACCTGTGACTCCCAGCATGCACCTGCACTTCCCAGCATGCACCTGTGACTCCCAGCATGCCCCTGCACTTTCCAGCATGCCCCTGTGCTTTCCCCGCGTGCTCCTGTGCTTTCCTGCATGCCCCTGCGCTTTCCCGCATGCCATCTAGACTACTCAGCATTACCCCCCCAGGCAAAATCTAGAACCACAACCAGAGTCAGGAACTCTTTCTCACCTACATGGGAACTGTTTCCCCCACAGGAACTCTCTCTCTTCCACACAGGAACTCTCTCTTCTACACAGGAGTTTGCGCTGTGCTACATGGGAACTCTGTCTCCCACAGGAACTCACTTTTTTCCACACAGGAACTACTTCTACACAGGAATTCTCTCCTCTCTCTCCGCTCTCTCTTACACAGGATCTCAGTCTCCCACAGGAACTCTGTCCCGCAGGAGGCTCAGGATGAAAGGATGTAACCCCAGAAGGCCACAGCAGGGGGCGCTGAGTGGCTCAGGCACCCGCTGATCACTAATCACAGTCATCAAAGGCATGGAGACAGAATCTGAATAATCAATTCCCACAAGTGATATTTAATTAAAACAACTTTTTGAAAAAAAGACTGAGAATGCGTTATACCTTTCTTTTACATGAATACATCACAATCCTAATTTTGGTGAAGTTTGATAAATGGTGCTTTAACATGTCTACTTCACTAGAGGTAGGGTCAAGTGCAGGGCAGGATTTTAAGGGAATTCATGCAGACTCTGTACTGCAGTCTGCCTGTTCAACAATAGCGATTCCACAGAGACAGAGGAGCGGCCCGGACTCCAGCCACCCCAAACGGAGCTGTTTTCATGTTATGAAAATGAGAAGGTAGCAATTTCCACAGCATATCAATCGGAACACTTTCTCCAGTTGAAAATTGGTACGTGTGTAATAAGAGCGAGTGATTTAATTTGGGGGAAAATTACTTATTAAACGCTGAGCAGGGAGAAAATTACATACAGCACACATCGCTGCCTGTCAAAGCACAAATTAACACCGTGCCTGGTTTACACCGTGTTTATTAGAAGATTGGTGAACACCGCCCAACTTTGTGAGTTATTAAAAATCACTCTGGACTTCCCCCTTCTGTCAGAGTCCTGCGTGGAAGCCACCCACCAGCTGAAACTCGGAACAAAGTGTGCACTACAAGGGTAGCATTACACACTGCAGAAACGCTGAGAGAATATTAGCATTTGTGTCAGCTGCCAGCTGTCTGCTACTTTCACCCCAGTCCTGTAGGGGGCACTCTCTGAATCTGCCATGTGACCTCCCATTAATACACACACTGACTCACAGCATGTCCTTTTGTATGGGGCGCCAAATGTAACAGACCTTTTTTCGTGGATAGAATGCCTTCTGTGCTACGAAACGGATGCTTCTGTGCTACGAAACGCATGAATTCATCACGAAACCATATAACACCGTAACGCCTTTTGTCCACGAAAAACACAAACTCGTTAGCATTGTGTCCACGACATATTGAAGAGAGCACATACTTTAATGCACAGAACACAAAACGGATGATTCCTGTCGTGTACTGAATTGACTGTTGTGCTTTTCATTTTGTGGACAAAAGGCTGAATGCACTTCGCACTATGTGGATAAAAGAAATTCATTTTGTAGACAAAAGTAATTCTGTCCACATAATAGATGTCCTAGGCCAGCATTTATGCTTTTGTGGCACAAAATGCAAAATGCGCTATACTATAATCATTCCGTGCCATCGAATGTTCATTTAGTCCACTTAACTGTTTTGCTATATTACTGAAAGTATGATGTGCACGAAAGGGATTCAGCACAATATATTTCATGACTCCACAGTTACAGAAGGCATTCCGTCCACGAAAGCAAAGGCCACTTGAACTTTCGTAGACATCAATATTTCGTGGATACAGTGCTAACACGTTTGTGTTTTTCATGGACAAAACGTATTAGTGTTACATGTTTCATAATGAATTTATGCTTTTCGTAGCACAGAAGGCATTCTGTCCACGAAACAAAACACTGATGTCCATGAAAGTTCAAGCAGCCTTTACTTTCAAAATGAGTTTCTTTTGTCCACATAGTGCGAAGTGCATTCCGCCTTTTGTCCACAAAATGAAAAGCACAACGGTCAATTCAGTACACGACAGGAATCATCCGTTTTGTTTTCTGTGCATTAAAGTATGTGCTCTCTTCAATATTTCGTGGGCACAATGCTAACATGTTTGTGTTTTTCGTGGACAAAAGGCGTTACGGTGTCAAATGGTTTCGTAATGAATTTATGCATTTTGTAGCACAGAAGGCATTCTGTCCACGAAAAAAGGTCTGTTACATTTGGCACCCCATACTTTTGCCATCTCAGCTCATGAGGCACAGTATGTTATGAAAGTGAGAGGCTCCTTCCACAGGCAGATTGTCTCTCCTCTCCCTGAACTCACACACACATCTAAAGGGCCATGAAGGACTGGCTGAGTTCTCAATGAGGACTGAGGCATTAGAGGAAAAGACTGCAGAGTTAGAGCAGCTCATGTGCAGCGGTGGATTAACACACCAGATGAACTGGCAAAATTCACAATAGGAAACTCAAACATTATAATTCCAGAAGCGCGATGCAGTGAAGCGAAGTGTCTAATTAAAGGCAAAGAGGGAGTCCTTCAAGCAAAAGCCATAATCCCCTGCAATGACAACAGAAAGCGACGTCCTCAATCCTTTCCGAATTAAAGAGCGAAGGTCAAACGATCCAATTACTGAATGAGGCTGAAGACAAGGAGTCACAATGAACAGAGAGGAACGACACTCCATCTGACAGAGTGACTCTCAGCTGGCCTCCACTTGCTGAGTGACAGTTACACAGTCCAATGGCAGCAAGGCTTTCATGCTCCCACAGTGAATGCTTCTGTTTCTCCCTCTTCAGACTGTTACAGAACCACCACTATGACTAAAAGACCTATTACTGCCAATAAAACTACCACTACCACAACCTCCTTATTACTCCTAATTGGGTGTTTAGTTTCTTGTAAACATCCTTGAACAGGTGGAATTGATTACTAGAGTTACTGAGGCAGGTCTACCTCACTAAGAGGGAGAGAGAGAAAGACAAAGTGAGAGGAAGAATAGGGTGAGAGGAGGAGAGAGAGAAGGAGAGAGAAGCATTCACAGGGAGAGAAGTCGTAGGACACTCTCCATTCATACAGCCACAGTTTTACTCGTGTGGTTTAGCCCCTGGGTTTGGAGCCCACATCCCTGCAGTGCACTGCCTCCCACAGCTCTAAGTCTCTGGAGAGGGCTCTCTGATACAGGAGGAGACATTTCTCTGCTATTGTATGTCTGAATCCTGGCGGAATGGCTGTGTGCTACACTCTAATGGTCATTTAAAAGCCTCGTTAATCTTCGTGGTAATCATGAATATGTATGATATGCATTAAATTATTTAACTTGGGAAGAAATGTCTTGCAGATGCTGTCATTGATGTCATTAATTAACATGCAAGCTTTTATTTTTCTGTCTCCAAAATGAAATGCAGGAAAAAGGTATGATTGATTTGAAACTTCCTGTATCCTATTCATCAGAGCAGCACCCCGATGGGAGATGAGGGAAGTGGTCTCTCTCAGGAGAGGGGGAGAGAGAGAGAGAGAGAGAGAGAGAGAGAGAGAGAGGGAGAGAGAGAGGGAAAGAGAGAGGAGAGAGAGAGGGAGAGGGACAGAGAGAGAGACAGGTAACAGCAGCAGAGTTGATCTTGCATATGTTCTCCTGGATAAAAATAATCTCCAGCTCAGACGTGTAGAAGGCTGTAGAGGCAGGGAGGCCCTTCCTGCCCCTGATGCAGCCCCACCTCTGCCCCCCAGCACTGCTGCTGCAACAGGCCCCCCAGGGAGCACAGAACACTGCTTCTGTCTGCTCCGCCCTACTTTTCACACTTCTTACCCTTCCCTTTGCACAATGAGTCCTTGGCCCACCTGCATGCTACTGTTCCACCTGTGCACTACTGATCTCCCATACAACACTCATCTACCTGCACATAACTGACCAATTCATCTGCAGCTTCAATACAGGCTGTGTAGCATAGTGGTTAAGGAGCAGGGCTCGTAACCAAAAGGTTGCTGGTTCGATTCCTTGTTGGGGCACTGCTGCTGTACACTTGGCCAAAGCACTTTTAACCCACAACTGCCTCAGTAAATATCCAGCTATATAAATGGACAACATTGTAAAAACTGTAAACAATGCAAGTCGCTCTGGATGGGAGCATCGGCTAAATGCCAATAATGCAATGCAATGCAATGTAACAGGCTCAGAGTGCAGTCTACGCAGACAGCATGGACTACATAATTCAGTCTGCGCAGACAGAGCTAACTGCATAAACCCAGTACAGTCTGCACAGATGGAAGAAAAATTCTCTGGTGCTATGAATAAACTTGGTCAGTCTGGGTCCGTTAGGGTTAAACTGAGGCCATGGTCCATTCAACCAGAGCACCGGCAGTGCAGGTTGACAGGAAGTGAGTCACAATGACGCGGTTCATCAGCAGGATGTGAGTTTCAGCTGCACAGCAAAGTGTGACAGATCTCACAAATACCATCACCTCAATGACTTTATCCGCAGAGACACAGGGAGAGGACCCCTACCACAGATATTTCTTCAAAATAGCGGGCATGCGTGTGCGTGTGTGTGTGTATGTGTGTGTGCATGCATGTGTGTTTGTATGTGTGTGTGTGTGTTATCAGACTAACACACAGGGAGTTTCAGTCTCTGCCTCAGGCTAGCAGACCATGCTCTGTGAAGCCCTGCAAATTAGTGTCCAGCGAAGCAGAACAGAGAAGCGGGATTTGGACAGACGCAGTCGTGTCTGCGCTGGGCCCGGATCAGCGCAGCAAATGAAGCAGCCGGCAGCGTGTTTATCCGGCCGGCCCGGCACCCCGGCGCCGCCTGCTCTTATCTGCTGCTCTTCTGCTGCCACTTTGCGGATTAATCAAAACAGCCACCTCCCCCCCCCCACCTCCGCATCCCCCCCACAGCCTGCCTTTTTTTAAGATAAACTGCCAACCGTGAAACAAACGAACAAACTTGCACCTGCTGTAAAACTCAAACAACTTTTATCAGTAATCAGCATGCTGCAAGCACTCAGAGGGAAGTCCGCTAATCCTGCCCCAGAGACGGAGGATGACAGCGTCTCCACGGACCTCCTGCACAAGGCCAAACTCTGCAGACTGAGAAACTCTGCCCAGAGTGAAACTGCAGACAGCATAACTCATAAGAACCCTACAGAGAGGGACTGTCATAATCTTCATCATAAAAGCCATATATGATTCTTTCATCATCTTACAGATTACAGGTTCAGCCCATTGAACCCCTGGTCCAAAAACAAGCCAGCAGCAGCAGACAGAGCCCGGCTGCAGGGCTGTCAGCACTGCCACCCTGGTTCCCTTTACTAATTGAAGGCTGAGTTCAGTAAATCTCAGTGCACAGAGGCAGTGGAGTTAACACAGAAGCATTACTATAACTAATGAAGGCCCCCAAATCCCAGTGTTTTATCAGTGCTGGGAGAGGCATTTAGTGAAGAGAGAGGCAGAGAAAGCCAGCAGAGGGAGGTTTAACAGTTTCAATTAGCACTTTAATGCCAGCTAGTGCGCCCCTCACATGCCACCCTGAGCTCATGGGCCCCAGCAGGTACCAGCCAGCCAGGACGTTCCTGCTGTGACACTGTGACAGTCCGTGATCCAGAAACAGGAGCCATTTCCCACCCTCAGGTCTGAAACACACGAGCAGTGACCATCGCTTCAAAACAGTATAACAGCAGATAAAACTGTAAACTCAATGTGTGTGGGTGTCAGGGTATAATTACAGTATTACTGCATGTGTACATGCATCTTGGCATTCTTGGTCATTGGATCTGTGACAGGTTTCTCTTTCACACTTAATTTAATGTACCAATTACAATCATCTGAATGTTCAACAGGAAGGGCCAACGCACTGGGTGCATCTCGATACTTTAGAGGAGTGTCTTCTCATCTCTTCCTCCCACCTCCTCCCCACATCTTTGCGTCGATTCCTCCGAGTTGCCGATCGAGGACACGAGGAAAAGATGGGAGGAGGAAAGGAGGAGGTACTCAGTGCTGTGAGGGAAATGGAACATCCTTGCTCGATTGAACTTCATCAATTTCATATACCTTTCAGTAGGAATCCTTTCCTCTTCAGGGCAGATTTTTAATGGAATTTATATGAAATGTATGGTTAATTTAACTATTTTGCAAAATAGTACTTTGTTTAAAAAAAGCATTTATAGTTTTTAAGGAAGATATTAATATTACATCATCTCTTTATGTACTATTCAGTGAAAAATCTTTAAGCCGTGTGCAGTTTGTTAAAATTTACTTGTACTGTAGTTTATCAGTGTACTCTGGCTGCGTATATATTGTATATATTTCTGTCTTTCTGTGGTGACTTTATGTTGCAGTAAATAAAAACATGCAATGTGACATGTATGTGGCGGTTTGTGTGATGAATCCCTGAGCTCGTCTGCGTGGGGACACATCGATACGTCCTCCACTGAGGGAGGCAAACAGAACATGTCCTGCTTCCTTCATATTCCTACAGAAATGGAGTTATTCTTAAAGACGTGACCTGTTGTTGATTTCCAGGTCACAGAGGATGCAGAGATGTAGGAATCAAGGAAATGGAGGCAAATTAGCACTAATGGGACACATCCACTGTGAACAGTGAAAACTGCTCACCTCATATCACATTGTGAACACTGAAACTGCTGACCTCGTACCACACTGTGAACACTGAAAACTGACCTCATACCACACTGTGAACACTGAAACTGCTGACCTCATATCACATTGTGAACACTGAAACTGCTGACCTCATACCACACTGCTTCAGCAGAAGGCAGCATTGCTGTCTGTACCTGGTGAGGTTTTGCCCCAGTTCTTTGGTAAGTAACTGCCAAATACCAGCAAAAGGAGTTGGATGTGTACAACATCCAATACAATTAGTGTGAAACTATAAATAAATGTATATTTTTGAAGCTACCATTAGAAGCTGACAATAGAATAACCCTGTGTTCATCTGGTGCAAAGAGCTTGATTAGTTTGATTGATTGATTTAATGGTTGTTTGACTGACTGATTCATTGGTTGACTGATTGGATAGTTGGCTGGATGAATGATTAGTTGGTTGATTGATTAATTGATTGCTTGGTTGCTTGATGTGATTTGACTGGCATGCAGAATAACAGCACTTTGAAATGCAGCTTGTTCAGCTTTGATCTCAGCTTTGACCCCTGCTGCACTTCCCAGCATGCATCTGTTCATGTTTCAAAGCAGCCAGAGTAGGGGCACACAGCATGTCCCGGGCATTGAAGGCATGGCATTAACGAATGACAAACTGCAAACACAACTTAATATGTCAAATCACACATTGGCTTTTGATAGTTCAGATTAAGCAGTGTTACCTGATGCTCAGGTTTCGGTGAGCTTTGTGAGTGCGACTCCTCCCCTGTGAGTGTGACTCCTCCCCTGTGAGTCTGAGGCCTGCCCTGTGAGGTTTGAGGCCTGCCCTGTGAGGTTTGACTCCTCCCCTGTGAGTCTGACTCCTGCCCCTGTGAGTCTGAGGCCTGTTCCTGTCCCCATGGTCCATCAGTGTCTTGCCCTTCTTATTAAAGTCTGCACCTCATTCATCACAATATTTGTAAAAACAATCATACTTTGTTCTTGTGAAAAGTTCATATGAAATAATCATGTCTGATTCATGAAACATGCAGAAATACCCAATTTGGAATGAAGCACAACTTTGAAAGGATCAATTTTTAGATCAAAACATTTGTCCTGACATTGTCTTGTCCAAATAAAATTGTATCCAACACATAGAAAGTACGTGGGAGTAGACAAATGTGTACTCGTGGATGTGGCATGAGTGGTCTGGAGCAGTTGTGAAATTAGTTCACAGGTAGGAGCAAATTCCAGGTGAGAACTGCTATACAGATGAAAAAGCGTTTGTAAGCATGAACAGTGAATCTGGCCCATGGTCCCTCTGTGCTTCATAAAAGCAGCTTTACATTGCAGCAGATAATAAGGAAAACAGGGAATATGAGAGGAGGGTTAATGAGGAGTGATTCTCTGTAATTAACTGCAGATGGATATCAGTGATCCTGAAGAGAAACCAAAGCCTGTCATTGGAGCAGATGGAACACTGTGATGAGCAAGCGGACAATGTCATTGGATCAGATGGAACACTGTGATGAGCAAGCGGCCACTGTCATTGGATCAGACAGAGGGAGCGGAACAGCGTGCCAAGCTTCTTGACCCTGGAGGGATCCTGAATAGATGGCAGTCGAACAGCTGCTGCAGCAGATGTGCGGATCCATTTCTCCCCTGCAGCGGATCAAACCATTCCCACCACCAGCTCCTTTCAGTGAGAGAGGCTACCTCAGGCTACAGGACCAAACCATTCCCACAGCCAATAATAATATATTATGTATTTGCTTATAAGACTCCAGTGTTCAAAATTACAATGTGCAGTTGTTAGTATTTTTACACCCATTTTTCACCCAGACAGAATGGAAATGGACACTGTACAGGAACAGACAGAGAAAACCAACAGATCCACTGCTTATCGGCCAGCTATGATCCAACATCACAGACATATCCGTCTGTGTTTAAGTGAGTGCAGATGTGTGGTCTCTGTGTTGGGGTTTGGTGAGTGCAGGTGTGTGGTCTGGGGTTAAGTGGGTGATGGTTATAATCCTCCCCCAGGTTGCAGTGATGTTTTTGGGTTCTGAGGGGTCAGACAGAACAGCCTTCCCGATATTAACAAAGCTCCTCTCTTTTACTCACAGACAGGGGAGTGGTTTAACACATGGCCCCCAGCTCTTTCTGATCAATACCCTGAGTCACAGAAGAGTTCTCTCTGCCTGAGCATGATGAGACCCCTGGAGATCACAGTAACATAGTGATGTGCTGCTTAGCTATGGGCCTGCCCCCAACCCTAACCCCTTACCCCAACATCAATCCTAGCCCTAACTGTAACATGCCCTCCCCTACCCCAAAAGAAAGGGTTTCCTCCATGTGAAATCACACCTCTGACAAACATGCATTTTTCATTTCACAAACAAATCATCGCATTTTTT